AACTGGGCCTGGGACCAGAGCTGCAGCCAATGTCTGCCAAGGGCCATAGCCATTGCTGTTGCCTGGCCAGGATCAGGGATGGGCCTGAAGTTGCTGCTGCTGCCATCACTGCCTCACTGGAGCTAGAGCTGCCACTGTTGCCTGACAGGGGCCAGGATTGGGTCTAAAGCCACCACTGTTGCCTGGCCTTGGCTAAGGGGGTCAATGATAGGTGGCCAGGTGGAGAAGACGCACTGGGATGGTGTACAAATAGCTAGGGGGGCAAGGCACAGGGACCACCTGCCTCCTAGCCCCTTTCCCTCCTGCTGCTACTTTTCCTACCGCTGTAGTTGAGGAATGAATTTAAGACCACCTGCTGATAACTGTATGGTGTACATAATCAATTTATAAATTTTCATACAATTAATTCAATTATTGAGGATCCTGTCTTAAATTCAGAGTTGTTTTGGATTGGTGTAAACACAATATAATGTACTACATATTCATTTTAGCCACTATTTTGTTTATAATCTAGGTGCCAATCAACCTGCAAGGTGTTCAGGGGAAGGACTGTATGGGTTTTGTTTTTTTGTTTTAGCCAGAGTTGAACATGATCTTTCTACTAAAGAAATAACAATTTGTAACAAGACCATGGATTAAAAGAATGGATTAGTGTTATGTATCAGAGAATAAAATGGTATAAACAGATTTGTTTGTTCCATGCAGAGGAGAAGAAAGCAAAGAGTATCAAAGCTGAAGAAAAAGTTAAAAAGGAAATGAAAGATGGAAAACCAGAGTTGAAGATGACTGAGAAAGTCAAACGGACTGAAATAAAAGTACAGGAAGTTGGGTTAATAGAAGCCAAACCGAGAGTTAAGGAGGAGAAAGCATTTAAGGCTGAAACAAGATCGGAAAAGAAAGGTAAACAAAGCCAGGAGGAAACGGCTGAAGAACTTAAACTAGTGGGGAAGAAGCAGAAACAATGAAGTTAAAGCTGACAAGACCAAAAAGTCAAAATCTGCAACATGTATAAGTAAATCCCCTTTGGATTTCAGATCACTAAATGGAAACAAAATGGACAAACAGGAGCTTAAAATGAACAATAAGGAAACAATAAGGAATTGTTACTCTCATGGCTAAAGATTCATTTTAATTTGAACACTTCCTTGAGATAGCAAGACCAGCATTCCTAGTTACTGAGGGTTTTTGAAGTAGAAGATTTAAGGGTTCTATTTTTCAGATTTGAAATCTTAAACTGCAGAGGGACTTAACTTAAACATTAATCTTTAAACTGCAGAGGGAGCAACAAGGTATTTCAATTTTGCCATTTAACCAACATTATTAAATCGGCAAGAGTTTTGATGACCTGGAAAGAATATCTGATATGTTGAATGAATAGCAACATTAATTTGGGTTATCCAGTAACCTGTTGGGAAGTATGTTTGGGTTCTACAAATGTGCATAGTTTCTGCTTAGGAATAGCAAAAATTGCAGGTGATAGAACGGAATGATTTGCATTACATCAGATCACATGAGACTGCCATGTTTTCTATAACACAAGGACATGGCAGTGCCTGATATAACTTGACATATAATTGGGTTCCAGATTTCCGCTAATAGGGAAAAAAAATGTCATTCCTAGAGGTAAAAGAAACAAATTAGATCCCAAAAAAGAGGAATATCAATACATAATTTGTGTGGGTATTCACTACAAGCATATTTCCACAATGGTCAGTCTGGATTTTGTTGCTGTTTAATCACAGTAGGTGAATCTGCACATGCAATTAACACATAGCAATAAACTCTGGTGCAGTTTGTGCTGGAGTTTATTGCTCCTAGGTGAAATGTTCACACGTGCACCGGGGACTAAAGGACATTGAGCCAGGGGGGAGCAGCCCCAGCTGACAGGTGGCCTGCGAAGTCAGCCTGCCAGCTTGGGGCTGCTCTGCCCTGATTCGTCATGCTGTGGTGCAGGTGCCAAGTGGGGTGGGTGATCTGTGCTGTCCCCCACTGTCCCGCACTGCCCCGTGCTCCACAGGGGGGTTTCTGCCATGAGCCCCCAGAGGCTCTGATCGCTGCTGCTGCAGCTGGTGAGTGTGGGGCTTTTTTGTTTTTCTTTAATTTTTTTAAAGTAACAGGAGGCAAGGGCTGGGCAGGCGAGCCATGAGTGCTTCTCCTGAGGCTCCTCTGGCTGTGGCTGCTGCTGCCCTGGTCGGAGGAGTTGCAGGAAAAGCCCCCATGTCTGCCCTGCCTGGCCCCAGCCTTCTGACACTTTAAAAGGAGGGTTTCAGGGCTGTGCTAGACTCTTGCCAGGGGCACCTCTGAAACTTTCTGAAATATTTCTGAAACATTGGATGGTTTTGTTTCATTTTAGAGATGTTTTGGAGCCTTCTGTTTCATTTCAGGTTTGGTGTTTTGGGTGCCAAAATGGGCCCAAACACCTCTGAAATGAAATGGCTTTCGAAATTTTGCACAGTCCTACTAGTTGGGGCACAAGGGTACTACAGTGTGGGGCTAACTGGCAGGCAGGGAGCACAAGGCCTGGTCCCAAAGTGCATGGGGCCAAGAGAGCTCTGCCAGCTGTGGTGGCAGCTGTCTGCTGGCCCCATAAACATTAGGAAGGGCTGTGATGTGCACAGAGCCAGGAGACAGCTGCTTCTGCAGTTGGCGGAGTTTTCCCAGCCCCATGAACATCTAGACACACAGCTGCTGGTGAACCTCATGCCCAGTGAGACTTTCCTACCAAGCAGGGTCTCACCAAGAGATCTCCAGCTGCTGGGGCAACTACCAGCGAGTTCCAAGCTAAGCAGGGAAGCACAGAGTTTCCCAGTCCCAGCACTGCTCAGCTCCCAGCTCCTGTGGGGAGCCAGGAGCTATGCAGTGCTGGGTCAGGTGAGCAGTGGGGGGGCATGTAGAGAGTGACCACATCCTGGCACTGATCGGCTTCCGGCTCTTTGGGGTAACAGGAGCTGAGCAGTGCCAGGCCCGGAGACAGAGAACTCTCCCATCCCTTGTGTTCCCTTGTTGGTGTGGTTGACTGAGTGCAAATTTGGTCCCAGGCAGATTCTACATGAGTACTACTGCATACTAACTACTGCACAGTTAATCCAGTACCTGTATTTACAGGTAAAACAAAGCATTTGGAGGTATGGGAGTTTATTTTCTAACATTAAGATATTTGAAAATGAATAGAAGCCAGAGACAAGGGAGATCAGGGATTTTTTTCAAGAAAAATTCTGAGGTCAAGTAAATCCTTTTTCTCCCCACAATGCTTCTCAAGGAGTCCACCCAGCACTGCATCTTTTCAGTTTTTTATAACTGTCTTTTTAGCTGTATACTGCCAGATGCAAGTCTGGTACAACTGAAACATCTAGCTACACATTTCAGTCCTGCTGTGATTTAAAAAAACTGATGTAATTTCCATGTCAAACTAGACATCTGAATATTAAACATAATCTGACAACAAAAGTGTAGTGCCTAATCCTGGAAGCCTGGGTTATCCTTGTTGAAGGGAGTGGTTTCATTGATTTCACTGTAGCTGTACAAACTAACATGACTGTGAACATGAGTAAAACTACAGACTGTTGCCCAGTTCTTTCCCAACCTGTTTTCCTCTGCCACTAAGAAAGCTTATGTAGTGCTTAGTATGACAGAGAGTGGTCAGAATAGTTTTGGGAGGTTTAATGTTTTGAAGGCCATATCAACTACCAGTATAAAAACTGACTCTCTTGATTGAAGTAGATCTAAGGTGATTGGTATCAATAAAAAACTGGCCCTGAACTCCCATCACTTTTATTGCTTTTCTGATGTAGTATTCTAAACTGTTCCCTTAAAAAAAGTTACTCAGTACATATGTCACTGTGTCCATTTCATTAGATAAATGGAGGTCTGCATGTGTACCAGTTTAGAATGTTGGTGCTTGTGCCATATGATAGAGACTGTCTCAGGCCTCCCATTCTTTCTGGCATTCTCTCTCAGCATATGTTCCCCAAATTGGCAAATAACATATTGGCCCTCAGGATTTTATGCCCCAGAGGCAGTTATTGGCTTATGCTGTCTCCTAAAGCTTTACAATACAAAATGCCTGGAGATAGAGTGGATACTTTCAAAGTATCCTAGGACACTCACAATATCTGTTATTTTTCAAGACAATTAATCACCAATATAGTACAGCTATAAGATGAAAAACACTGATGTAAATCCTTATTTCAGTAAAGGACTATGATTTAAAATGAATCTTTAGCTCTTAAATTGGAAATATATCTATATTTGAAATGCTTTGGCCTTGTTTCTTCTTTTAATAGTGCCAGAATTCCCATTGACATGAATGGGAACATTACCAAGCTCCTTACTGTTTCCTATACAATAATAGCTTTATTTTTGCTATTGTAGGTTTTAATATTATGAGTTCATATCCATTATAAATCCCTATTTTCAGGGGTTAAATAACTTGAAAAAGAATTGCTATGGGCAGAAATATAGTATAAAATATCTCTGCCCAGAAGCAATTGAAAAAATATATTTAATCTATATTAAAATTACAGTAATATAAATGAAATATACATCAGTCAATGCAGATCCTTGTTTGCACTGCAAAGATTAACAATGGCCTCCTTTCATAGAAATGATTTTTTCAGTCTGTTAGTTCATAATGGACTAATGTATTTAGGCCCTGATCCCAACCCATTGAAGTAAATTGGATCTCTTCCAATGACTTCTGTAGGCTTTGGATGGGCTCATTTAGAGGATTTATTTAGTTTCTTATGTGTTTGCTTTTATTTTTTCAAAGGATATTTTTTTTCAAAAAATATTTTCATTTTTGTACACACAATGCATAGGTGCAGAAGCCAAGTACCTTAAAATCCCTAAGTAGTCATTGATGGATAGTCTGCACTGATCAGAATGAATCATTAGGCTTTCCAATCAAATTTCCAATTAAAAAAAATCTGCTTTGAGATTTATAGCAGTAATAGCTACTCTGGGCGCACTGATTTATCAGCTAACCTATATTTTGTATAAGTTTTTACAGATTGATCAAATAGACTCTAAAGACTTCATAAAAATGGTTTATAGTCAAGGTCCTGTGTACTCCTAGGCAAACTAGATCTAACATTGTACAAGAAGGGATATGGTTTGTGACTAGAAACACTGCAGAAGCTTCAGGCCACAGACAAATGTTACTTTTGTGCAGAGAAAAGCGATCCCCAAGTCCCTAGATTCACACTACTGCCCATGCCACCCAGCTAGGCAGCAGGGGCAGCCATTTAAATGGTGGTGGGGATGGGAACTGGGGTAAGGGAGGCTCTACCTGGTCGGGATTCCCTGTGTCTGTGACTACAAAACTGTTTACAGCCTATCCCTTCCCAAGGAGGGGAGAAGGCAGGCTGTCAATTAATGGGTTCTCCTTAGAGCAGGGCTGGCCCAGGGAGCAGCACTCCAGTGCCCCCTAACTTGAGTTCTGACCTGTATAGCGTGCACTTTTTTTGTACATGCTATTTTTGTAGCAACTGCTAGAAACAAATTCCTGTCAGTGGCCTCAGATAAATTAAGCACCAGGGTTTTTAGTGAATCAAACCTAAAAATGAATAAAATAATCAGCATTGCATGATGAGGGATGAAATGTTATATTAAAAAAAAATGTATTTTCCCTTTAATTTTAAATTTTGTTTTCAAGTGAGAAGTTTTGGGCTTAATAAAGACTAGGAGAGAAAGCAACTTTGAAATTTGGGAAGTCCTTAGGGAAGCAGTTAGAGGTTTCTGTTAAAAGTATTAAGTTACTCAGTGAAACTGTTTTAAAAAAATAAATTAATGTGACATAAAGAACCTCAGGCAGAAGGCAGGGTAGAAACGCACCTTATGGACTAACTAAATAAGACATATAGAAAGAGCATAAGCTTTCGTGAACTTGAGCTTGGTTCATCAGATGCATCAGATGAAGTGAGCTTCTGTTCACAAAAGCTAATGCTCTTCAGATATCTTATTTAGAGTATGTTCAGACATTCCTGGGACCCAGTCTACAAACACATGGCTTACTTCAAGCATTGTGATTATAGATCAGGTCTCACTTACGCAGATGTTTGCTGGTGCTGGGCGCTGCACTGGGAATGTGATCTAAATAAGTCAGAGTGGGGAGAGGAGGAGGCAAGATCAGGGAGGCCTTAGCAGGTCCTTGGGGGAGGGAGGGGAGTTGGCAAGTCCAAGGGGATTTGGCTATACTGGGGGTCTACACAGCCCACATGGGGAGTTACTTATGTGTGGGTTGGGGGAATAAAAGCCTGATCAGAGTACAGGGGATAGAAAAAGTACAGCCCAAGGGCTGGGACAAGAGGGTGGGATTTTCCAGCCCCAGGGCTGCACTCTGAACATATATAGATGTTAAGGAGATCAGGCTAATGCATGCCCAATCTAACTTAGCTCATCTCCTCAGGCCAGGCATTTTTGCCTGATCCATCCTCCCTGGACACCTGTATAGATTGGCACTTAGATCAACTTAGTTAGGTTGATCTAAGTGTAACATCTGCATGCACCCTTAGTTAGTCCATAAAGCAAATATCTCTCTTGCCTTCCACCTGACTTGAGACTCATATGACTGACTGCCTCTCTCTGCATATAAAGATCCTGTCATAAACCCACTGAAGTAAGGATATTCATATCTAAAGGTGGGATCCTGCAACTATTTAATGGAATGAATAATAGTCTTACTGACTTAAATGGCACAACGTCGGCTCATGGGCATTATATTGGTAGTGCCTGCAGGATAAGGCCCTAAACCTGAAACTTGATGCTCAGCTTTTCCTGTTTCTAGAATATATTTTGTCAAGCTAAAGGATTCACACCTAGTGCAGGAGGCCAGGCCACAACAAACCATTCCTTATAGCTTATCGTCATTGTGTTGGAGCTCTGGAGGCTAAATAACAGTGCAGAAGTGCCAGTGCACATTGCAGAAATGGTCCTTTCATGGGCCAGTGTATGCCAAGTTCAGGTCATTTTGTGGTTCATCTGGCAGTGACATGAAAGTAAGCTTGGAAAACAACTGCAATTTTATACAAATCCATTTGGCCTCAGTATTTTGTTCAGCCAGCACTGTGAAGCTATGACTTTAGTTCCAGTTTAAAGGCAGGAGCAGTTTAAAGCAGGGAAAGGTGTAGCAACACCATTTTCTGCCACTTACTGGTGAAATCCAGTTTGTAGAAGGAGAGCAAATTCCACTTTGCCTGTTTTATAAAACCAGAGCGGGGATCTAAGGGGAGATTGATCTCTGCAACACTAAAGCTGTTAAGCTGGTAGGCCTAAGTAAGAACTTGAACATTAACTGGACGGTCTTTATTTGTGTATATGAATTACTTAGGCTGGGGAACCTCTGAGTAAACATTGCAAAAATATCCAAAATTGTGTGAGAAGTTGCTACCAAGCTTTGTCTTCACCACTAAAGAGACAAAAAGGCTTTTACACTTACTTTCTTCATTGCTCTTTTTCCTTTCTGCTTTGTTAGATCAATATGCATTCTGTCGCTATGTGATTGACATGTTTGCGCAACGGGATTTTTATACAGGTACTTTTATACATCATTGAACTCTGTGCTAATAGTTTTTTGCTTTTTGGCAAGATTCTGCTTCTTTGTGCCTTAAAGAATGTTTTGTATTTTGAAAAGATTGAACAACTGCAAATAATTTAAATAAAGCATAAGGGCTAATGGCTGCATTATTAAAGCTTTTAATTTTTCTTTCAACAATTGCATGTATTAAAAGTAAGCTTAATTTAAAAGTGAAGTTATTGTTTGTTCGTAAGGAAAGATTTTCTATACTTTCTATAGAAAGCTATAGAAATGCTAAAATCTTCCTATTAAGTGATATATAGAAGGACAGAGTAATATGTTACATTCTTCTTCAATAGCAAACAATAACCGAGAATATTTAGCTTTAAAAAGAAAGGACACTGCATTAAAAACCATTGCTGCTTTTAATGTCTGAAATCTTTTAACTGATCCATTACTTCTTTTCTCTCCCCACATGCAGACATTCATCTCTTTAAACTCATGTTCAGTTCTCAGCAAAAGAAGGGAGAACTATTGCTGATGACTAAAAATGAGCTTGTCCTACAACATTAGTTCAGTTCAATCTGTTTTAATATTTGTTGACTGTATTTATTTATCATTTATTCATTTTAATGATGCTGCCAAACATTCATAAATGGTGCTGTTACAGAGGCTAGGTACAGACAGTCAAAAAGCCCGAGGCTGAGTTGATTCAGTCTTTGCGGGTTAGTTTAAGCTTCACAAAATAAATGGAAGCAGAAGTGAACAGACATTTACCTTTAAATCAGGGAATGCAGCCACATGCCTGCAGTGGCTCAGGCCAGAAATGAGGGGCATTAGAGCATGGCTTTCTGGCTGCGTGTTCAATTCCTCTTCCTGCTGCCCCTGAGGTCTCTGGGATTTGCAGTCCAGAATCACAGCAGCAGGACTGTGCAGGTTGTTCATCACTTCCTTGTTCTGCTTTCAGGTGCCTCTGGGATTTGTAGTCCACACTTGCAGCGAGCAATACATTTGAGTGGGGGAAGGGGTGTTTAATCCCCCTTCCTAGCCTCAGACTCTAGTTGGGGTTTGGTGGAAGGGAGGGGCAGTCCTCCCCTTGTAGGCTGGGCTGCATCCCCAGCTGGGCTTGCCCCTCCTACTCTGTACGCCAGCTATCACTGCTCCTATGGAGCAGGGGGTGGGGCCAGCCCTGCTGTGCTCTCTGGAGCAGACAGCCCAGCCCAGCCCAGGGCTAGAAAGCATGCTGGTATGCTGGGAGACTGATTTAACTTGAACCAGGAAGGGATCTGGGACAGAAGTTTCATAAACTGGTTTGACCCAAATTAGTTAAGTCTGATACTACAATCATTTTGAAACTGGTTTATATGCATTGAACTTCTATTCTGTTAAGGTTTAAACCAGTTTCTGATCACTTAAACTGGTTTATGTGTAACTTCTGCCCCTAGATAGGGAGTACACAATCCCAGGGAAATTATCCCTGTTCTCACCGAATTAACAAAGTCAGATATGCCTGTACGTTCTGTAGTAATGCCTCTTGATAGCCTGTTTCTTATAATTCATAATGTTTTTCTCTAGCTCTTCCAGGCAGAATACACTGTCTTAAACAGTCACGATAACAGAACTAACTCTGTACCCTCTCTATCACAACTAGACACTTACTTCTTAAATCACCTTTCCATCTCAAGTAAAAGCCAGGGAATAGTATTTTCTGAATATCCTGAATAATTCTACTTGTGAACAGTGAAGCAAGGCATAGCTTATAAAACAACCAAAAAATAATACTAAAAAATCCAGAGCATCCCTCTATTTTTTCAGATGAGGTGATGAAAGGTGAAGGTCAGGTATACACAGTTCTGTACTCTTTTAAAAAAAAACTTTCAGAAAGCTTTACTGGCAACAGTTCAGATAATGCTTTTCTCAGCCAATATGCTCATTTTACAGTGTTTCTTTGTTAACTGTAACAGTCTTCCTTGAATAGATATATAGAGTAAAAGCAACCTCCCAAATAATGTCTCTTTTAATGTCCCTGTTATTTAATTAGGCTTAAAACTTCCTGTAATTTACCTCTCTGTAAGATCATGTATTATAGTATTTTACAGTAGATTTATGCTAACCAGGAAACTGGTTAGCATAAAAACCAAAATAAAAATTTACCATGACCAAAATTTGTATTTATGGATGAGGGGGGGAAAATCCATTTGTAATAGACTTGGGTATATATACCCAAAAAAATAATATAACTCTTAATAGAAAATGATACCAGCTGTTGTGATGCAACTGTTAGTTCTGTAGGATTCAGTAGACATACACGAATGTAGCAAAACTATTCCAAATTTAACACTGCTTTATTTAAGATCAAAGTTGGGCCCATTTTAGCTAACTTGCATTACTACAGGATTGTTCACAAATAGCAGTTAGACCAGAACAGCTACTGCACACTACCAAGCTGCAGCTTGGCTTCCCCTTTTAGAGTACCTAAAATATACATTTGTCCAGACCTTTTGAACTTCCATCAGCTTCTTGGTGGAATAAAGAGTTTCAGTTAAATAAGAGCAATCACTGTACTCTAAAAATATTTGTAACTGCTTTGGAGGACATTCATGCTAAGTGCACATAAAAGAAAAAATCATAATTTATCATATTTGCTTTAGTGGATAATGCATATTAGGTACTGGCAATATAAGTTTAATTAAAATGTTATGCTTGCATGTGCAGGCAAAATATACCCTCTAACATGGAGTTTGACAGTTTTAGAGTGACAAAATATAACTAAATAAAACTTAGTTGTACATTTCACTTATGTCATATCTTTAAAGATACATCTTCATTTAACCTGCATGACCCTGTGAGCCAGGGACAGAAATTACACATAAAGCGATATAAGTGTTCAGAAACTGGTTCAAATCTGTAACAATAGATGTTCAGTGCACATAAACCATTTTCAAAATGGCCAAAATTGGTTTAAGATAAATTTGGGTGGATGTAGTATCAGACTTACCTGATTTGAGTTAAATTGGTTTATTGAATTTCTGTCCCAGATCCCCTCCAGATTCAAGTTAACTCACAGTCCCCCAGCATCCCAAGATGCTTTGCACTTCCCTCACAACTCCCCCTTGCAGGGTGGGTGGGCTAGCCTTGGCCCAAGCTGTCTGCTCCAGCTGAGCCGGGAGGTGAGCTCTACCACCCCCCAGCTTCTGGACTGGGCCACTGCATGCATGTGGCTGCACTTCCAGAATCAAAAGTGAATGTCTGTTCACTTGCTTAAGGGTTCAATCTACACAGCTTAGACTAACCTGTGAATTAATTTATTACCCAAAAAGTTTTTACTGTCTGTCCATTTGCTTCAACTTTGTCAGTTTCCTCTGAGCTTAGTAGTGGTGATTCAAATCAAGATTTCTGATCATGGTGAAGCCAAAACAAGTTTCAGAGAGATGTTTTCATTTATGGCTTTCCTCATTAAGGTTACGCTGGTTTCCCTAGATTTCTCCCACACTGTAATCCTTGTATTTATAAGACTGTCAGTTTTTGCCCTCAACCAGTGATTCTCAAGCAGTGTGCTGCAGCAGCTTTGGCTGCCTTGAGATATTTTCCAGGGTGCCATGCACTGTTATCACAGTTAGGTGTGCAAACAATTCACAAGGTAAACCCAGGGATTTCAAGTAGGAATACATAGTGTTAAAAAAAATCCTGACCTGTTTTGACCTTTCTGAGTTTCTCGTAGAAGAAAAATTGTTTTATCATTTTTTCATAGTCAAAAAATGAGTAAAAAATAAGAGCTGGCATTTTCTGAGTAGTCTTGAATCTAACAAAAGGGTTCTTGAGTCTCACAAGTTTGAGAACCACTGCTCTAGACAGTCACTGATGTAGATCCTAGTCCTCATTACTTGCAGTAGTTATGCTACCATTTATTAGCTCTGGAGCTATTTAGACCTGTGATCAGTCTAATGGTGCACCAATATATCCTAGAGGGATTTGTTTTTTTTCCTGTGATTAGTTGATACATTTACACCAAGAAGTAAAAAGCCTGAGAATGCTTGCAATTTTCAATCCAGGAAGAAGTACGTAGTAGTTTGCTATTCATTAGGGAGCAGATTGGGCCACTGTGTGGCTGTATCTACATGTGTAATTAGCATGTAGCAATAAACTGTGGACTTAATTGCCCACAGCATGAATATGGGTGATGCAATCTGCACTGGATAAATGCTACTGCACAGAGGGTAATAATTTACTTATTGTGGATGCCTGCTGAGTAAAATTGGGTAGCTAGAGCCAACACTTTCAAACCCATGAATCTAAGATTAGCTACCTAAATAAGGGGACTGATTTTCAAAAGCTCTGAGCAATAATTGTTCTCAGTGGTACCCTCTGCACCAGATTCCCCTCCTGCCATTGCTTCAGAGGCACTGTGTAGCCCTCCTGGATTAGTGGTTCCACCCACTCTCTCAATGATAGGTGTCCTACAGTCCATCTTATGTACTTGAACAACAACAACAACAATTATTATTATAATAAATGTTGTTTTCGATCATTAAATGTTCTGAATGTTATCTTTTGCTCCTTACACATAATTTTATCACACATTCTGGAATTCATGTTGTGTTCTAGCAGCATCCCTGAAGCTTGATTTCCATTTTGTTTGTTTGGTGGGGGTGGGGTTTGGATTTAGGAGTGTGAAATTTTCTCACTCATGCATCAGCACTTATGCATGCCAGGAGTCCTCTTTATCTTCACTGATCTTGCTTTGTTATGCTTTGTTTGACTCCTCTCATGCCAGAGCCCCACAGTTTCCCCACTCTTTCTCCCAGGCTGCATGAATCCTAGGGGAAGCAAGTGGTAATATTTCCCTGGCTTTTCAGAAAAGAGTGATTGCTCTTGTGTGTTTGTTTAGTGACTTCTGGCATGCTTCTTTCTTCTGCATGCCCATGGAAGAGAATTGCTGAGGCAAAGAAACACATTCACAGGGTGCTCAGTCATAAATAGGGATTTCCATTTCCTGCAATCCTACAGACTGAAGTTAGTGTTTTATTTCTTTAGGTTTGCCATGACTTTGTTTCAAGTGCATATCTTTCCCATGTTTTAGCTCTCTGTATAGAACTTCCATTTTACAATAGCCTGCGGTCCACATATGCCACTGGTCTTTATGCTTAGCTAATTATCTACTAAAGCAGTTTTGGCACAGGCCAGAATTGGGGTGAGGGAGGAAGTGCGGCTTTATGCTAGCTTTGCAATTCTGGGGTCTTTGACTCACTCAAGCAGCAGCAGGGCTGCTATGACTTGGCTGTAATGATTGACAAGGGTAGATGGAGTGCAGTGGATTCAGTCCACAGTCTCTTCCTCTACCAACATGCCCCCTTACCTTTCTCCTTCATGGTCATGGGTCAAGAGATAAAAACTGAAAAGTTGTAGGTATATCTTTCTAGCCTTCTGCTACTAGGAAAATGCCTTTTCCTGGGGGTGTTTTCCTATGATTTCCAGCAGTTATAGCACTTTTCCACTGCAAAAGAGAGTGAACATATTGCAGAATCATTCATAAAAAATTAATCCCTATATCCATCTCAGAGTGAAAGGGATCTCCAGAAACCATTTCCTTCCCAAGAAGGAATGCTAGGTTGAGAGTCTCCGGGGAGTGTACTGTCTGATAAGATTTTTTTCCAGACTTCCAGACTTTTATACCATCATCTATATAACTCCTAGCTCATCAATATTTTCAAGTGTGAGAAAAAACTGGGATTTGGTAACTGTAATGTGCAAGTCAAAGACTGGCAAGCTGTAGTATAGTTATGGTTAAATGTCCTCGGATTTCTTGCCTGCTGACAGGTTTCAGAATGGTTGATGGTTGTTCTGACAGAGTGTGGGTCAGTAATGTCAGATTCAGGTCCAAGTTGGAAAAACAGCTATTTCTATTGCCTTTTAAGGTTTGGGGGTATTAGACGTAGCCTAATCTTGATCCATGTGAACTATTGAGTTCTTGTTCTTCTATTGCTGTCTGCTGTACAGACACCTAGACTCACACGGTCTTGACATCTTTTTGGAATGGTCATTCTTGCTCAATTGCCCCAGAGACAGGGGCAGGAGACTGTTTAGTGTGGAGGGATACTCTTCATGTACCCCACTGCATTGGCTTTATGCTGAAATAACTTTGTTTATACCAGAGCAGTTAATTTAGAACATACTTGATGTAATTCAATGGAGGACCAGCCCCAATAAATAAGTCTTACAATTTCACTACTAGTTTCATTTTCAGGTAAAATCACCTTGACAATTGCCTGTAGTTTTACAAGGCTATTATGTTTGACTGAGAACTCTAGGGATTTTTTTTCTATTAAAATGTGCACTGGTTGCTTCTATCATGTTTTTCCCCTTCAGTCATATTAGAAATTGAGTAAAGCAGACATGTGACCCAGAAGATAGCTGATTGGGGAGGATGTTAAGGATGTGGTGTGGGTTTTGGGATGTGAGAAAAACTTAAGCAAGTGTCTTACACATATATTTTGAAAATGTGAAAGATCACGAAGACCTTCCAGGTCATCTTTGGTTAGGATACCATGTCCTAAATTGACGTTGTCTAGAGCCATCTTCCTCACTAGACATGTAACCATGCATCAGTTTTCAAAGCAACTGTTTTGATTGATCACTTGTTCCTAGTGAAGATGTAATTGCAGATAATTTGATGACACGAAGCTGTCCTTTATTTCTCTAGTAACCTGCTTGGTTAATTCTGAGCATGTTCTAAAATTGCCTGAAAGAGAAGATATAATAAAGAGTAATTTAAATACATCTATGAGAAGCACAGAAAATTAAGCAGCAATCATTAAATAATTTCTGACTAGTTAGGTGTTATTTATTAATGAACCATTCTTGTAAAAACATCAACTGTCAGTTAGGACCAAATATTTTTTCTTTAAATTTCTCTTCAATTACACAACATGAGAGGCATCCATTAATATCCTTTTATTGTATTCTTGTCTCCAACTCATCTCTTTCCCTGGCTCTTCTTGGGAGTACTTTAATATGACACTGGTCTCTTAATAGGAGATCTATCAGTACTTGCCCCCCCTCACATCGTCCCACAGATGCAAATGAAACGTATCATCCATTATTCCCTGTCTATATCATCCCCTCCTTGAATCAGAGCCACATGTCAACACCCTTATGAACTTTATTATGCTAGTGCCAAAATATCAAAAACTATTTTCAGTCTATTAAAGAAAACCAGTACTTGTGTATGTGTGTGTGTATACTATATACATATATATATATATATATATACACACACACATATATACACATACACACATATACATACACACACACAAATAATTGTTTTCTTTAATAGTTTACTGTGACCAGCTCAGAACATTTTGATTCCAAAAATGAGGGGGGTAATTTTTTCATTAGTAGAAATTGGTAAAATTACTATTAATCTACTCTTGTGAGGGACTGGAGTAAGAATCAAGGTAACATTCCTTATGATATTTATTTTGTTGTGTTATGATACATTGTTCAGTAAAAGAATATTAAAATCATAAGCCATATTGCAAAAGATTCAATAATAACAGCATGATTGAGCTATAGTAAAGGCCTTAAAAATATTGGTGGTGAAGGCAGGTAATTTTAAAAGAAAAGGAGGAAGAAAGCATGTGTGTTTGTGTGTGTATATGCATATATATCTATGCATATACACACACAATAATATACACATAATATATATATGTACATATATATATATATGTACATATACACATAATATATTAGGCCTGTGCGAATAGGGAAGTATTTGATTCAGATTCAGAATTGGCAGATTCGGAGGACAGTGATTCAATTTGGAGATTTGGATCACTGTCCTGAATCGATTGGGCCAAATTAGCTTCTGAAGGTTCAGCTCTGATTCTTTTACTGAACAATGAATTATGACGCAATAAAATACATGTCATCAAGAGGGTTACCTTGATTCTTACAAGAGTACATTAGTAGAAATGTTACCAGTTTCTACCAATGGAAAAATTACCTCCCTCATTTTTTGGAATCAAAATGTTCTGAGGCATGTGAAAGATCCATGGTTTCATAGTTTCATAGCTGGTAGGGTCGGAAGGGACCTGAGGAGATCATCTAGTCTGCCCCCCTGCCATAGCAGGAAAGAGTACTGGGGTCAAACGACCCTGGCCAGATGTTCGTCCAGCCTTTTTTTAAATACCCCCAGGGTAGGAGCCAGCACCACTTCTTTTGGAAGTGGGTGCCAGGCCCTAGCCACCCTGACAGTGAAATAGCGCCTCCTAATGTCTAGCCTGGAACTACCCTCCACTAGCTTGTGTCCATTGTTTCTTGCAACTCCTGGGAGTGCTTGGGGGAACAGGGACTCTCCCAATGCCTGCTGGTCCCCCTTGACTCGTTTGTAGACTGCCACTAGATCCCCTCTCAGCCTTCTCTTTTGGAGGCTGAACAGGTTCAGGTCCCTCAGCCTCTCCTCATAGGTCCTACGCTGGTGACCCCTGATCATGCGGGTGGCCCTCCTTTGGACCCTCTCCATATTGGCCACATGCCTCCTGAAGTACAGTGCCCAGAACTGGATGCAGTACTCCAGCTGCGGCCTGACCAGTGTTGCATACAGGGGGAGGATCACATCCTTGGACCTGCTTGAGATGCATCTGTGGATACATGACAAGGTATGGTTGGCCTTCCTGACCGCATCCCCACTTTGTTGGCCCATGTTCATTGTGGCATCAATGATGATTCCAAGATCCTTTTCTGTCTCGACACTGGCACGAAGGGAGTTTGCCAGCCTGTAGGTGTGCCGCTGGTTCTTCCTCCCCAGGTGCATTACCCTGCACTTGTCAGTGTTGAACCCCATCCTGTTCTCATCGGCCCACCCCTGTAACCTGTCTAGATCCACTTGCAGCCTATTCCTTCCTACTAGCATACCCACTTCACCCCACATCTTAGTGTCATCTGCGAATTTGAACAAGGTGCTTTCTACCCCCTCACCCAAGTCACTGATGAAGATGTTGAATAGTGCGGGCCCAAGGACCGAGCCCTGGGGAACCCCATTGCCCACATCCCTCCAGGTTGAATAAGACCCATCCACAACCACCCTCTGGGTGCAGCCCTCCAGCCAGTTAGTGACCCATCTGACCGTGTAGGCATCAACACCACTGTCTCCTAGTTTCTTACTGAGAATGGGGTGAGAGACCGTGTCGAAGGCCTTCCTGAAGTCCAGAAAAACTATATCCACTGCGACACCTGCATCCAAGGACTTGGTGACCTGGTCGTAGAAGGCCACCAGGTTGGTTTGACAAGACCTGCCCCTAATGAACCCATGCTGGTTGCCCCTGAGCATAACCTCCCCTCCTGGCCCTTCCTGGCCATGTGCCAAGATAATTCTTTTGAAAAGCTTCCCCAGGACCGAGGTAAGACTCATGGGCCTATAGTTTCCTGGGTCCTCCTTCCTCCCTTTTTTGAAGATGGGGACCACATTGGCCCTTTTCCAGTCCTCTGGCACATTGCCTAAGCGCCATGAGTGCTCATAGAGCGGTGCCAGAGGTCCCACAGTGATCCCTGCTAGTTCCTTCAGTACTCTGGGGTGGAGATCATCAGGACCTGTGGATTTAAATACATCTAGTCCCTCCAGAAGTTCCATGACAAGATCCTCATTAACCCTAGGCCTGGGTGTGCCACCCATAGGGCCCTCAGGGGTGCCAGTGAAGGAGATATCCAAGTCCCTCCTCAGAAATATGGAGGCAAAGAAATTGTTGAATATGTCAGCTTTACCGTCAGGTGAGATTACCAGACTTCCTAGCGTGTCCTGCAGAAGACCCACGTTACCTGGCACCTTCTTTTGCCCCACTATGTATTTGAAAAAGGACTTCTTGTTGTCCTTGATCTGGGTCACTAGTCCCAGCTCCATTTCCACATTGGCCTTCCTGACCGCCCCCCTACATTCCTGAGCTACCAAGGTATAGCCCTCTCTTGTGATGGCCCCTCCCTTCCAACAGGTGTACACCTCCTTTTTTGTTTGGAGACATTCCCAGATGCTTTTGGTGAGCCATGGGGGCCTTTTCACTCTTTTGCCCCCTTTGATTCGTGTAGGGGATCGTCTCCTTAAGAAACGACCACTCCTCCTGGACACTCAACTCCCTCCTGCTCTGGGACCTCAGTGCTTCCCCCACTAGTTTTCTCACCTTGTTAAAGTCTGCCCTCCTGAAGTCAAGGGCTGCTGCCTTACTGTAGGCTTTCACCACCTTGTGCTGGATGGTGAATTCCAGCAGATGATGATCGCTATCACCCAAGTGGTCGAGCACCCGCAGACTGTGTACCAGGTCATTGCCCATGGCCAGGACCAAATCCAACAAGGCATCTCCCCTGGTGGGGCTGTGTACCTCCTGGGTTAGATGGAGGTCCTGTATGTCAGTTAAGAACCTTCATGAGCAGTCAGACCTGGCTGTCTGCTCCTCCCAGCAGATGTCTGGAAAGTTTAGGTCACCCATGAAGACCACACCCACCCTTGGACCTAACTATCTCCGTGACCTGACTTAAGAATTCCTGGTCTCAATCATCTCCTTGGTTGGGTGGTCTGTAGTAGACCCCCACCATTAAGTCCCTTTCTCCCATACACCCTTGTATTCTAACCCAGAGCACTTCCATTTGCTCCTCCTCTGACTCAGTGTTACTCACTGTGGTTCCTGACTTTTGTTGTGTGTTGGATTGATTATGGTAGCAATGGAAATGTGTTGACAGAGTTTGCCTTTGCTGTCTTGTCAAGATCTAGCTTCATTTAGTGTTACTTCAATCTTATATCAAATTCTGATTCTTAGATGAGGTCTGGAGATTGCATGAAAGCAGGGCAGAGGGGGAGTTTCATAGACATTAGGGGCTGGAAGGGACCTAATGAGATCATAGAGTCAAGCCCCAAAGGGAAGCAGAAAGTTCCCTCAAGACTTAAACTGTCACCCCAAATGGGACTTGAACCCACAATCCCTGGCTTCAGAGTCCAGTGTCTTGTCCATTAGGGCTACTGGAGTTGAAGAGACTCTTTTTAAGCTGTGGCCCTCTTTGACTACAGGCTTTCTTATAGGACCCAGTGTGGATTTGTATGTGACAACGAGAGGTGGGTGAGGGTTAGTTGTCCAGATTCAGCTAAAGGGCCAAGGCTTGAGTGGAAGCTGTAACACCTTGTAGCCTATATGGAGAGATACAGAGTTGGACTTAAAACACACAAGGACCTGTGGGTTATATAACAGATCAGAACCACATCTATACAATCTTCTGAGGAGAATAAATCAACCCAGGCCTAGATCATTAGGAGTAAGTGAAAGGATAAAAGCAAAATTAAAGGCACCTTTCTAAAAGAAACAATTAGTTTAAGGAATGCAGTTAATAACTGAGGGAAAAGTAGCACAAGGCTTTTCTAAAAATATAAGCAGGTCTGGACAAATCTATCCCATTAATTTTATAGCTTAGTTTTTAATAATGTTTAAGAAAGAAAAAAATCATCTTCCTCATGATATCCATCTCCCTCAGCTTGAATAAGGAAGAAGATTGCTGGAACCTAGCCAAATTTGAGTTTGAAATATGTTCCTTTTAAAGCTCGTGATTTTGTGAGATGGCAGAAAAATGCAGATAATTATGTACCTACAGTCTCCTTGGTTTAGTCTTCAGTCTCAGCTTACAGAAGCTAAGTCTATATCTTCATTGCTGCATTTTAAGAACTTACCCACTTCAAGGGAAAGGCAATTCTTTCTTTGT